AAGTCCAATATTGGTCATAACTCGTGAGGCTTGCATACAATTCATCTATTCAACTAATTGGAGTTAAGATACCCAGCTAAAGTTATTTAGTCCTTCAGTCAACATTACGTTCAATTACTTAACGAGGCCGACACACTTAAGAGAAAGAAACAACATTGAATGAAAAAGAGATTATATTGATTTTCAACTGATATTACAAAATGGGGGGCCTGAGGCCAGTACATCATGCATAACTGAAAAGAAAACTATCCTAAGCCTGGGAAGATGGTGGAGGTGCCTCAGCAGCTGGGACTTCTGCAGCTTGAGCATCAGAATTTGCTTCTTCTGCCTCTGCTACGTCATCTCCGACCACTTCATTAGCTGGGGTTTGAGGCACTTCGTCCACAAACTCCGACCTGAGTTACGACATATCCTGATTGAGATACAACTCATCAGCCCGCTCCATCACTTTGGCATAAGCAAAGTTCCTCCAGTAAGTGCTGAAGCTCTTGTACTTCTCGGTATTGTGGAAGTTGGCAATGTAGTCTCTCACTGTCTCATCCCTTGCATTTTGGGCTTCTTCCCTAGCATGGGTTGCATCATTGACGTACTACTTAATTTGGCCCTCGATGAACTTGTATGCATCCTGGGCCCCTGCCAGCTCCCTGTTAGCCTTCTCCAAGGCTTCGGCTGTCACCTTCTGGTGGTCATTGGAAACCTCCACCTCCTTACGTAAGGAGGCAACCTCGCACTGGGACTCATGTACCACCCTCTTCAATGCCTCTATCTGAGCCAAGGCAGACTCCAGCTTGGCCGATTCTTCAAGTTTTTGGGCCCTGACTTTTTCAGCCTCGGCCCTAGCTGCCTTCAGTTTCTCTGCAAGGGAGGCAGCCTTCCTCTCAGAGGAATGGGTCCTCATCTGAAAGTCAGTGAGGGCCCCCCTGCACTCCAGTCCGAGGCCAAAGGTCCTAACACTTTGGCTCACAAGAGCCCTTGTCAAGTCCGTGGCATCACAGGCGGAGGCGTGCAGCTGCCACCGATCCGTTCAGAATTTATAAAAACTTTCAGTAGCGCTTCGAATTTCAGGTGGTAGGGCCTCTACCAAAGATGGGGCCAGAGGCTCCTCCCTGCCGGCAGGGAAGCTCGGAGACTTCCCTTATACTCGAACATGTTTCTGTTTGGCAGCCTCCTTCCCGGCCACCTCAGCCTGCCTCTTTGCAGCCTCCTCCCTCGCCTCATCAGCCTCAGTACACCTAACCATTTCAATTTTAACCACTTTCGAGGCGGCTTCCAGTAGCTTCGAAGGTCCGGCTTCTTTGCCTTGGGACACAGAACTCCCAAATTTACCAGACGAGTTGGAGACGTGCACTAGATTCCTCTTCTTCGGCTCCTCAGGGACTTTCTCCTTCCCCCAAGGCTCCTTGGACTTTTCTGGCCTCTGGGGGGTCCCCCGAGACGTGCTGTCCTTGGAGAGACGCTCCACTCTGCCTCGGACCTCCTTGGCGCCAGTTGACCTCGGTTTCAGGGGTCTTGCCTTCACAGTAGAGGTTGTCTTGAGTATGGACGTCATGTCAGGAGCTGGGTACTCCTTCTTCTTAAACTTGTCTGCAGAACACAGCTTGTCAATATCAAAACGAAAACACAAAAATATACAAGTATGGGAGCTTCGTACCCTTGGAGGCCATTAGCTCAAGGTCGAGGAAATAGCGACTTCTATTGGTGAGGTAGTCGAAGTGGCGAAGCTTCAGAGGTCTCTTGTAAATGTCCTCTATCACCTCAAACTCCTCCCTGCTCAGCTCGAACCTTGTACTATTATTTGCAAAGGACGCTTCAACAGTTAAAAAAATAAATTTTTTAATACAGATTACAAACTTGGGCTGGGAGACTCACGAGTTTCGTAGTACTGGGTCGGTACCGTGCAAGCCAGGGCTTTGTCTCCCTCCACTGTCTGTCACCTGCCTCACACCCAGAACCACGACTCCTTCCACCCCTCGATGGAAGAAGGCAGTCCCACCACAAATGGTGCATGAGCCCCCTAAGGACTTAGGTAATACCACCCCTTCGACTCCTTCCCTATTATCCTAAGCTGGAAGAGGGTCATGAAGACGTAGAGAGGCATGTCCTCCCCAAGTGACACTTCCTTCCACAGGAAGTATGAGTCGACCAACTGGCTCCACCCGTTTGGCAGAACCTAGTTCAACGACAGCATGAAGTTCCTCAGCACCGCCCTAAAAAAGGGCTGCAGAGGAAGACGCATACCTACCTTAAACAGGTACTCACTCACCGCCATACAACCGGACCTCGGATAACAGGCTCACTCATGGGCTTCGGGAACTAATATTTCCACATAGTGAGGCACACAGTACCTCTCTCTAATCTCCCCCAGCCTCTTCCCTGTCATATTTGAAGGCACCCTAGATGCCCCCACTCTTCGCTATAGTCTACTGGCGCCTTAGTCATAGCATACCTATCCATCTCGAAATCCCCCCTATGACTGACCCCATGGCCCAATAACGCTACAGTGACCAACTCCCTACCCGAAGTGGACTCCATCTCAGAAATAACTAAGAACGCAGTAAAAGGAGGATTTTCTGTGAAAAATACCTACTGAAAAACTACACAAACAGAGTGTGCCAAAAAAGCAGTGAACGGACTTGCCTCAACACCGGAATGTTTAAGTTCTAAGAGAAGAAATCAGATTGCAAGTGCTGGAAAATCCAAAAAAAGGGAGTTCTCTCACCTTTATTAAAAGGCACGACGAATCCCCACCGTCAGATCGAAACTCATTCAATCTGAACCCTTCATTTTAAATCAAATCCGAGACGTAAAATTCAAACAATTTTTCAAACCTACGCCTCAGATTTAAGCGTGTCTCCCACGCACCTCAGCCAACACGTCTGCTTCTAGAAGCTCCAGCTGTTCTAAAAATTATGATTTTAATTCGGCGATAGTAGACGCCTTGGAAGTTGCAACGGTTCAGCCACCCTTCCTCAAAAACATGCGCAAAACATCAAATCATTGGCACAACTACCAAGGAACAATTATTATCAATGAACCTCGGCTTCATCTTCAACATTCAGCCATCGAGCCTAGCAGGTTCGATTTTCCAACCACCTCGGCTTCATCTTCAACATTCAGCCATCAAGCCTCGCAGGTTCGGTTTTCCAACCACCTCGGCTCATCTCCATCTTCCAGGTCTTATTTATGGTTCAAAAATTCTTTCAATTTTTACCCAACCCACTGGCTTTACTTCATTGAAGTCCACGTATTACATAAATGACTATATTTGGACTTGGGGGACTATTGTTACGTGTTATCATACTTGGCCAACCTACTTGGGCCTATGGCCCACTCAATTCGAACCACGTGGCGCTCTACCCGAGGTTGTTTGTATGACCGAGGCCCTTCATGCCGAGGCCTGTGAAGATAGCTGAAACCCTAAAGCGGAAGTACTACGTGAGTGGCAGAAGCCCTGAATTCGAAGTCAAAGCAGAAGCCTCCGAACCATGAAGGAACGTCTTCCATGATCACTTCTCCCAAGAGATCTTCTACATAAAGATCTTGTTAGAATGATTGATGGAACGTTTGTCATAAGTATATTTGTCAAGTCTTGTCATTAGCATGGGGGTTCTACATAAGCAATAAATGCGCAGCAAGCTAGCAAGTCAAGGATGATGCCTAGGATTGGATGTTTGAATTAAAGAGATGAGGCCACGTGCTACCTCATCCAATGGCTGCCATTTCACATGTACCACTATAAATACTTCCATTGTGTAACATTGAAGGACTAATGCAAGAATCAATATAAGAAATCACACTTTACTTTCTCTTTCATATTGCTTTACAACACAATACGAGTTCATTCCTATTTACATGCACATTCATGAGCACCGATTGGTAATTATTGTACAATTGGATTACGAACATCCCGCTGGATTTCGAACATTCTCGTCTCGCGTCGTTGAGCTACTCCCATGTCTCTGATTCTTTCGTCCTAGACCGTCCACGTGTCTTAGGATGTAGGACTTTCGCTCAAGCGTGCGTGGGTGGGTCCGACATCTGTTAGCAACTTTTTTTGGGGTCAACAGTTTTATTAGCAGTGGTGGTAGTAGATTAGGAGTTGTTGATGGTGGATCTATGGTTGGTGGGGGTGGATTTGGCGATGCATCTGGCGATGGTGATGGTGATGGTCGTAGCGACGACAGTTGTAGTATAGTAGTTGTTGTGGTTGGGGTATAGTGTGGTGAGGGTGGGGGTTCTAGTGGCAATGCAGTTGGTGACAGTGATGAGGTTGTTGTCACAAGTGCTAATGGTGGTCACAAATGATTTTTGTTAATTGTGATCATTAAATTGGTTAATCTATGATCAATAAACAATATGTGACTAATAAAAAAATAAATTGTGTCAACAAATAACGTGTGACCTAAAATTTGTTAATTTGTAATTAATAATTTGATAATTTGTGATTGTATAATAAATTGTAACTTATTACATTTGTAATTTGTGACCGATATATAAATCGTGACTTATAAATTTTTGAGTTATGATCGATGAACAAATTTTGACTCATAAAATTTTAATTGTGATCATGCAATAATTTGTAACATAAAAAAATTCTGATTTATGATCGAAAAATAATATGAGCCTGTTTGGGACTCATTACTGGTCCAAAAAAATGAAAAATCTTACCTCTGGAGCATACAAATCCAAGGCATTGTGAGAGAGAAGTCAACAGGTGGGGTGGGGCCTTCGAAGGTAAAAATTCTTCTAATAATTCAGAAATAATGTGCATCAAAAACCTCTATGTAACTAACGTCATTAATTTGTGATCTAAATATATTTAATTAATAAAATCATAAACAAAATTTAATAAATATCTGATTTTATCTTAATTTTGAAATAGATGGTACTTAAAATTTTTCCCAACCTAGAAATTGGATCATTACAGGTCCACATTACAGAAAACAAGCCCATTAGCGCAAATCTCGGAGTAAAAACCCTAATTTTCACCCCAACCGTATAAGAACCCAGAACTCCCAATTCTGCCATTTCCTATATCAGAAAATAAATTGCAAGGACTGCCGCGGAGAGAGGAAAATGCAGATCTTCGTGAAAACTCTAACGGGAAAAACTATAACCCTCGAGGTCGAATCCAGCGACACCATCGATAATGTCAAGGCCAAAATTCAAGACAAGGAAGGTACTTTTTTATTTTATTTATTTATTTTTTCCCGTCTTTTTTGCTTCGCGAGGTTGGGATTTTTTATGAATATGTTTAGAAATTTAGTTATTTATGGCTTTTAGGTATTCCACCGGACCAGCAGCGATTGATCTTTGCTGGAAAGCAACTGGAAGATGGCCGCACTCTCGCTGATTACAATATCCAGAAAGGTAACATCTTGATATTATTTAATTGTACTAATTGATCTTTCACTCCCAGTACCTATCTGGGTAGAATTGGTTTTGTGGTTAATTTGTGTTAGTTAATTGGATATTGGAATTTGTGAGTAGAGTCAACGTTACATTTGGTTCTGAGGTTGCGTGGAGGGATTATTGAGCCGTCCCTGATGGCATTGGCTAGAAAGTACAACCAGGACAAGATGATTTGTCGAAAGTAAGCTCTTATTCGCTGTTGTTACCCTCAATTATTGATCCTCAATGAGGTTGAGTTATTAATCATTGCTACAAGAATTTAATCATGAACTTGAAGGAGTTGTTAGTTGGAATTTATTTTATTACTAGATCTAGGTAGTCAGATGAGCTCTTGCATGTATTATTGGTTCTGTTCACTCCACCAAAGATTATTTTTGGAATAAAATGTGGGGTTGGTAAATGGTAAAAGTTATCATACAGTTTACGTTGATGCTTGAAAATGGTGGCATATTGTTCTGTAGTGGATGTAGAAGTTCTTATACTTTAACATCTTCAGAGAAATTGGTGTTATGCTTTCAATACACAGATATATGCAAATTCTAACATGAAAAGGATTTATGATCACATAGATTGTTGAGTAGTGTTACTTGGGAGGATCTAGTTTGGGAGTTCAACCTTGGGCTTTTGTCCTTGATTTGACCTTTTTGCAGCAAAGTATATTTACAAAATATGAAAATACGCCACTTTCTCATAATCTATTTTCAGTGCTAGCTGAAATTAATACTTCCAAATTTTCCATCATCTCTAGTGCCATTATCTGAATGAGTAATTTGAGACATCTCATTTTGCACTAGCCTGCAATATGCTGAAAACATAAATTGACTTGCTAACTTATGTTTCAGGTGTTATGCACGTCTCCATCCTCGTGCTGTGAACTGCAGGAAGAAAAAGTGTGGACACAGCAACCAGGTAAATAGCAATAAATAGATGTCATTAGTTTACTTTTCTTTTACCGGCTATTATTGTGAGGAGAATGAAGATTTGGGATTGAACTTTTGCATTTAACAGTTGAGGCCAAAGAAGAAGATCAAGTAGATGAGATATGGGGTTGCTTTTAGAGAGTTATTGTCAAGAGATATGTCTTGCTGCAGATGTTGGCCAATGTAAAACCATCCTTTCTCTCTTTAATTTGTTTGGGGACATAAGAATTCTTATTCAATTTGGATATTGGAGTTATCAGTGCCTTTTCTATGCTGTTCATTTTAGATAGAATGTTGTCGTATTACTATGAATCTCTTTGGTTTGTGCTACCTTTAGGCTTCTACTAGTAATTATTTTATTAGTTATAGTGGGGTTATTTTGCTCATTTCCGTTCACCTGAACAAACATGTTTATATCATAAAATGAACTGCGTCATTTCATATCATCTCTGAGTATAATTTGCTTAACAAACCTACAATTCCTGATACTAGCTGGGCATTCAACTCTTTTCCTGCTACTTTATATCATATCTTTAGCGAATTGTTCCCACATAATGAAAATGAATTACTCCCATTGGCTTCAACCAATTTACAGATAAGCCAATCAGGACCTAAGGTTCTAAGAATAATGGAAGGTCCCATATTTCCTTGCCTTTGGACCGCAATGGAATCAAATAAAACTTGAATGAAAAACATTCAAGAACATCAGGATTCGCCTTCTACTGCACCATTACATTTGAAGTTTATTGAAGCAGATAACGGTGGAGGCTGTGCAATGGCAGTGATAATGGTTCACCTTGAGTACTGCCACTGCGACTATGCAGGTAGAATGTTACACTCCTTGCAATGACAAGTGGACTAGCACTCTGTAAATTTCCCAGAAGAACTCAACAGTAAGTTGATCATAATTTTGTTTTCACAACTGGAAAAATCTTGAAAACTAACAAATTTGACGCAACAATCTCCACTGTATGTAAAAACCCAACTGCTGCCTGCAAATTAGAATTATATATTTCTTTAGTTCTAGTCTGCAAAGTGAATGGACATCAAATAATTTTCTTGACTGAGAGAGAAATGATTCCTACAACTCAACTAAAGCGACGGGAGCTTGGTTGAAGGAAGGTGTGCTTCTCATGCAATACTAATTGGGCACTCTTGGCATCCCAAAGTTTTACATCTCTGTCCTTGCTTCCCATCAAGAAGAAACCGGTATTAGGTATTGTAGCTCTTCCAGTGACGCTCCCTTAAAATGCAGAATCATCAGTGTTACGTGTTTGGTGATTTCGAAGCATATGTATTCAAGTGAAATATCTTCTGCAGTACTACTTGAGTGAGCCTTCGGTATGTATACCAAAACATCCCATTTCTATTTTGATCCCCCGTTTTATTCTGCATGTCAGCTGTTGATGACCCCTTTATGTTGTGTTCACCAGTGTCAGTGCTTGTGTCTCTTAGTCCTTCCAGTAGCTAATGTACCGGAAGTCCTGAAGTCCAATAACACGGCCTTTTCCCTAAGTCACAATAATAGGAGATATAAATTCACTTCCTATGTCCTTTATCAAACAGAGACAGGGAGCGAGCTCCACCTAGAACATATCAGATCCAAATCAAATTCAATGCATAAGCTGATAAAAAACGAATTGAAGTTTGCTATGAGATTAAATAGAAATGTCGAATACAATCTGTATACCTGATATCGTATCATAATGTTGCGATGACACTAAAAATTGTTTGAACACATTTGAACCACAGAGAATTTAGAGAGGAGAGCGAGTATTTATTTCAAGATAGATGAGATGAAGTCCATTAGATGCTTGACATTTGATCTCATCCTAACAACCCACTGATGAAAGTTCAATTGTGTCAATCACTGGCTATCATAGGCATGTAGCCATCATAGGCTTGACCATAGGTTGAGAATCAGCCATCCTAGGCTTGTCGTTGTCCTAGATTTGCACATACTAAGAAGTTGATCGCACGGAGCTGTTGCACAACTATCAATCTTTCAAATATACACTGTATCTTGGTCGAGGCGAGGTCTATGGAAAAGGCCCATCACAGAAGATGCCAATCGCCTCTAAAATGCTCAACGGCAGGATATGATGCCTCGCCATGTGTGGTAGAGGCATTTGAAGGCATGGCCCAATGGCCTCATCACCTTAGTGCGACACGTGTGGTAGAAGTGATAACGAAGTGAGGTACTGACTTTGTAGGGCCTCTTCTTAGCTTCTGCTTATTTGCTTGCCATGTGACCTTTATCGTTGATTGAGATGTAACTATAATCTCCCGACTCCAAGTTTTGCTTTTTCATATGAGACATTGGACTTTGCAAAAATATCAGTAATCATCTTGCAGGACGAGGCATCTCACGAGACGAAGAATATCCAAAGTTTTTGTTGGGCGAGGACGCACAAAGTCTAAGCATGAATATTTATACAAGGTATGGACTTCCGGCTCAGATTAAAGGATGGGTGGATGACCCAAATTGGTTGATCTTTTGATCTGATGGTTGTGGTCAAGGATCCTTGCCTATAAAAAGAGGGCAAGTCCCATTGCTACTAGACTCTATTTGCCTTTACAAACACTCGTAATATTTGAGTGAAAATTGTTGAGACGCACAACTCTAGAGAATTAATGAGATTTTCTAGTTAAAGTCTTAAAAAATCGTCAATATTAAGAGCCAATTTAACACGACTTTTGTTGTCCTTTTGATTTTTGTAGAAAAATTCAAGAGAAAATTACCTTAATTGGTATTTGAAAAATAATTTTTAAAATACCTTCCTCTTTGGAAGAACTTTTAGAAGAAATTACATTAAGCTAAATAGAAGAAATACATTTATAAAATGGATTAATTAGATGACATCACTCTACGTGTAAGAAATCTGGTCATTAATTGAAAATAATTTTGTTAAAATCAGTGTGCAAAAAGCTACCAACTCACAAAATGTCAATTATAATGTCAAACTTGATGTATACCGTACCAAGCAAAATTCTTATAAAATTAAGCAAATGGGTTGCAAAATCAATTTTTTTTATTTCAAGAACTCATTTTAACTTTCAAAAGTTATGTCAAACAGATCATGAGAGTCTTTAAAAATCTAAAACGAATCACCCACTTAGTGCAGCTTATTAAGACTTGGTAGATCGTTGTCCCAGCAATGACATTGTCTTGGATAGACCCATTAGAAAAAAAAGTTCAAAGAAAGGAAAAGAAAAGGGAAAGAAACCTCTAGTACCAAGTGCCAACCCTTCCCAGAAGTTGCAGTCACAAGTTTTCGAAGTGAAAATCTCAGTTGTTTAAGAACGTATTCGTCCTTTTACTTTTTGAAGAAGACACTAATTTAAATAAATTCATTCGATAAATTAAACCCTGGACTTTAATGTCAATCAAATATATGTGAAAAAAATATAAATAAAAACCTTCAATGGAACGAAAAAGTGTCACTCTGAATCAAGAATTTTCCTATTCTAGAGTCAAAAAGAGGCCGTCCACCACAGAAAATATACATTCACAATTGCACTCACGAGGAATTAAAAAGAATAGATAAATGGTGCTCATAAAAGAAGACAAAAGTTGCACAAATAAAATAATCTTAAAATATATATCCAGCATCATTAGTGCAATAAAAAACAAACAGGTCTTGTCCCTTTTCTCTTTATATCATGATCCACAAAGTAAAGCCAACATACAAACAACTGAAAATATTCTTTCTTGAATCAAGGACAGCTCCCAGACAAAGGAGGTGAATTTTCTCAATCTTGCAGACATTACTTTATTTATTTTTAGACCTTTTTCTTCATAAGAATCCATGGATACTGCTCAATGGATGCAGGTGAGTGGTTTTCGCAGTCAATAAATCTTTGAGTATAATTTATCTTAATTTTTTTACCCGATTAATTTCTTCCAGATTGTACAAGTAACCAGATAGGGTTTATGTAAGTGAAAATTGCGCTTCAATTCAATTCTCTCTTTTTATATTCTTCTTTTGCCCTTTTCTTAGCCTTCTTTTCAAACCAAGTTTTTAACCAGTTCTTTAGTACATGAAAGCACTGCACTTTGATATTACTTTCCCTTTTTGCATGTGTGATAATCGATAACCATAAAGGATTAGGAAGAAGGTACTATTAGTTATTTTTCAAAGTGAAATTAAAGCTATATACTTATTTTTTTATGCATGCTAGTTAGCTATCAGTTTATCAGTTTATCTAGTAATATTTCATTAAACCCAAACAGCTACTACCGATCATCTTTTTGCAAATATATAGGTGCATATTCGGTAGAAGTTAAAATCTTATTAATGTTGAGTCGTGTTCAGGAAATTGGAGCGGCGAAATCAATGACAGAGATAACTCCGAATACATGCTCAAATGAAAGAAAGGTGAAGCCACAAAAGGACCATTCCCTTAATTGTCCAAGATGTCATTCAACCAGCACAAAATTCTGCTATTACAACAATTACAGTCTTACTCAGCCAAGATACTTCTGCAAGACCTGTAGAAGGTACTGGACTGAAGGTGGTACCCTGAGAAATGTTCCAGTTGGGGGTGGTTCAAGAAAGAACAGAAAATCTACTTCTTCCTTATCGTCACCCCATAAAATTCCTGATCTGAACCCTAGTTCAAGCGTTTCACAGTTTACCTCTCTAAACCCTAAAGTCCATGATGGACAAGATCTTACCCTTGCTTATCATGGTATCCCACAGTTTCTTGAATTTCCTAAGATTGAGAATAGCAACACAGTTAATTGTTTATCTCTCTCCTCCTCTCCTACTCCACTTTCTGAACTAGATTTGCTGAGGACTGGAATTGCTTCACGGGGTTTTATCCCTACTCCAGCTGTGGAAAGAAACACAGCTTTCGCATCTGGATTTCTGTTTCAAGAATCCAAGCCAGCCATTGATTTTTCTTTTGACGGGCTTGGGATTAATGCATATGGCGATTCCAATAAGGGAGAGAACGAAAATGGTGGAAGATTAGTGTTTCCTTTTGGAGAATTGAGACAACACATGAGCAACAAAGTAGATCGAAGTAAGGGACAGGAGAATCCAAATGGATACTGGAATGGAATGTTTGGTGGAGGATCTTCTTGGTAAAAAGAAGAGATGTGCAAGAAAAACAAGAACTTGCACCTTTTTCCTCTTAATTTTATTTTCGTTTTTTCCGTTTTCAATGTCTGTTAGTTGTTTGAAGCTGTGTAGAACTAACATACTAGAAGATTGATATGGTCTCCTTCCTATCTACTTCGTTAAAGCAATCTATTTGTAGAGCAATCTAGTGGTGATTTGAAATCGCATGTTTGATCTACATATACACTACATGATAGTAACAAACTTAGCCTCCATTTGGAAAGAATTTGTAAATGGACATATATGTGTTTCGCGCGGGTTAGTCGCTAACAATTAAAAAGGGATCGATTATGTAAGGGACAAACCTCTTGAGACAAAATTTCAAAAAGGGGTATTTTTATTGGCAATGACTTTACAATTGGAAAATAAAAATAGAATGCCTTCAAGGGGCGCAAGCACACGAGTTACTGAAAAAGAAGTGTTTAAATTTAAACTAAGAAATTTAAAATTACATATTCTCTGTTTGAGAGTGTTTGATTCGGGAGGTCTTTTGCTCTATATCTTTTCTTCCTTTTATACTCCCTGGATAATCTCTTCGTGATCAACCGCTTAAAAGTTGCTTGATCGCTTTATAACTGCCCACTTCACTCGTAGTGGCCAACTTGTCATGGAACTGCCTTCTCCAACTGCTGTTATTACTTTTTGTCGTTCAACCGTCTTCAATTGAATTCCTTGAATCGTGGAACATGATAGGGCTACTCAATAACTGCTTCATTAACCGCACCTTTGAGTAACCATAACATTTTACGTTTGCTAAGATCTTGGGCGACTCAAAGGTTTGGACGAGAGCAGGGGCACAGTTCTGGGCGACTGCATGGCAATCCATTCGCTTAAATTTTAGGCGACTTGTAACCTTGGGCGATGGTATTACCGCGTTCATGGGCTTCCCTATTTGGGCCTTTATCCTGCATTGCCTGATTGGATCATTCTTTGGGCCATTTGATTTTGGGGATCTTCCAATTGGGCTTCATTCTTTGGGCTATTCGACTTGGCTGAACTTTTTGTATGTCAACAATATGTATGGTAAAATAATAAATAATTCTTGTGGATCATTGGAACATGTGATTAGAAGTTTTGACTATTTGTGAATGATTTATAAATTCTGCCAAACAGAGCCTTAATTAATCATCCTTAACCATTGGTTTTAGGCCTCGGCAAAAAATTAAAAAAATTGACCAAACCAATCAAATCGAACCGACTCAGGCCTGTTTGATATAAGTAATTGGTTTGATTTTTTTTTAAACAAAATCATGGTGGGTTGGTTTAGTTATAGTTTGAAGTCTCAAACCGTTGGTTGATCGAACCAATCCAAATCGCTTACATATTTACCTTTTTTTTAAAGAAAAATCAAAATAAAATAAAAATATTAGCCATAATCTCATAAGTATATCTCGATTCCATCCAATCTATAATGTTGTTGGAAAGTAATAGCATTGAGAATTTCTTTTCACAAACTTATTATGTTATACTTAGTGTTTTTTCCTTATTCAGGCAGTCATGTATATAATGAAAAAAAAAACAACAAAATTTTTAAGTTTTCTATTCATTCTCTATTATCATGATTTTATTTGTTAGTCAATAATTCTTGTAATATAAAGTTATTTAAATGTTGTTTGGTGAGAATTAAAATTAGTTTTTTAGTAGATTTTGATAGAAGATTTTGAAATGTGTAGTTGAAATGTTGTAGGATACGTGAAAGATGTGATTAATATTGATTGTTTGACCTTGACTCAAATTAAAATTTGAGCCAAACAAGGGCTTAGTCACTTTAGTACTTGTAGTCTAAGTGTGCCCAAAACTCGAATAATTATTTTTTAAAAAAAATCAATTTGGACTAAAAGTCTAAACCGACTAACTGAACCAAATCGATTCAGTTTGGTTTAAAAGTTAGAGTGTATTGGTTTGGGTTGAAATTCACCAAAACCGATTAATTTTATTTTGATTTCGAGCTAGAGTTGAAATTGACCTAAATCAAACTGCATCTAGGCCCAATTGGTTTCATTGGATTTTGTTTAGCAAGAACCCTTGTAATTTATAAAATGCATGAAATGACTAACTTAAGGCTTCATTTGTATTTGAGGAAATGAAAGATGCGAAGAAGGATGGGAAAAATCCAATGTATATAGTAGAATGAAGGGTAGAGAAGCAAGAGGAAAGAATGAAATTATAATTTGTATCTTAGCCTTAATTTTTAAATAATTATTTGTGACACTGAAACTTGAAGTCAGGTCTTTTGTGGTTCCGTTTCAAGAGTTGGGTGTATATTAATCTCGTTTTCAATTATGCATATATGCCAAGTCTGTAAATAAATCAATGACAGAAAATTAAAGAAGATATTATTATGTTGGGCTAAAGATGGCAAAGATGATTGCAATAATTAAGCAAATGGGAAGATAGCTTTGGAGAAAGTCAACGATGAAAAGCAATAGTGAAGGAATTTAAATTAAAAGCAGTAATAAGCCAATTATCAGAAACATAAAAAACACAAAGTTTTCCTGCTGCATCAACCCAATATCTCACCTAATTATTTAAAATAATAAATAAATATATATATATATATATATATATGGGCCTGTTTGAGCCACATTAGTCCAAAAAAATACATTTTTAAACAGTGATTTGATATCATTTCAATCACATTCTTTAATAAAATAATATTACACGCAAATCAAAAAAATTCTTTATTTTTTAACCATATATTTCTCATCAATACACTATTTAAAAATGCATTATTATCAAAATAATGTGGCTCAAACACTTCCCATATATTATCTAGGTCTGAACGAAGGACCCTTAATTCTCATTCACTTTCAGTGCATGTCAATCGTTATTCAAATACAAAAAAAAGTTTGAAGAAGCCAATAGGAAATAGGGAATGAGGGATAAATAAGTTAATATATTATATTACCTACTCAGTCCCACTTGGTTTTTACTAACTATTTATTATTTTTAGGCTGTCATTCTTTATTTTCTTGCGATAGCTATAGATTATGAATAATGTTATGTCCAACTATGCCTGTAGAAGTAGTGGCAGGGTTTACCATTCACCTTCTGCATTTTAACTAATTTTAAACTATAGATCACTTTCACTCGGACGAATTCTAAACACCCGTGCTAATAGATTATTTTATTAGAGTCGACAGATATCGAACGCTTGTTTCTATATTGGAAAAAAATTGACGGGAATTAAGAGAAAAATAACGTGCTTATTTTCCACTAATAAGAATCACAAGATCTTAACAAAATGTAATCTAACAACCATGCACAGTCTAACTTAATAAATAGATAGAAATGGGCAGTAAACAAGTGAATAACATCGGTTCGTACACCAATATCGGTTTCATACCAGCTCATGAAGCACATTCCTGCTGTAAGCCACACCAACTGGACTCGGCATAAGTAACTTGAGATGGGAGGGAAATAAGGGCTGCTAATGGATAACAGAAGAAGCTTTTCTGCTTCTTCCATCAATTGTCAGAAATCCCATTTTGCAGATGGCTGTTTCCGGTGGGTCTGATTCTTCCCTGGTGCAAGTGCCCCTCGATACTTTAGCAATGAAAACAGACGGAGTCACTCTATACTCAAACTAGTAAAGAGAACCTTTTTGAAGGAAGCAATCCCGCCTGGAAAGTACTAGGATTGAGCCATGATAGATAAGAGGTGAATCCTATAACAAACTTTTTTTCTTGACAGTACCAGAGTGACTCGGGAACAATCTAAATACACAAAGTCCTTTATCTTACGCAGATTAAAAAAAAAGCTCACAACCAGAACATAATTTTGTTGGTAGAACAGTTCTCGTGTAGATTGTATTGTAGGGAACTTGACCAGCTTTACCTTTCAAATCCCAGAAGACATTCTAATATCTTATATACCATTTCACGACAACTAACTGAAAGATATTCCACAGTTATAATGCATGCGAACCTTAGAGCACATATCATCGAACTTAAAAGAAAATGATCGAATGAATCAACGACGTACGTTATCAGTTTGGCCTCTAGAACTACTTGACCGTACAGGGGAGAAGTATGCATGCCTTGGAGAGCCAGAGTTATCAATAAGGAATCAGAAACTCAAATTCAAAAAATGTCATATCTCCCAAATTTATCCTCAGTCATAGTACTTTGTCAAATATCTAACACAAAATAATTCTCTTTTTATCTAAATATAATCCCAGAGGTAAACTATATGTTGGTGTCCGATTTTAAGAAGCCACCTTGGACAGATTGTGGACCTACTTCAAAGTAATTAGAAGATTCATTACTAGAAAGTAGAAATTCATGCATGAGAGATGAGGTAGGATCACACGACTCACCTAGCTAGAACATCCACAGCTACCATCATCTGAAAAATCATCATGAGTAAATTGGAGGAATGTTCCTCAATGACGTCAACACCGTCCATTGCCAGGGTGTCACCCATAACGTTAGTGTTGCCATGCCCACCATGTAAGTATTATACCCTAAGTCCAATCAACTTTGGATATAAATACTTCTGATATATAATTAATGTAATTTAATGGCAGATCTATTATTTAATTAATAGACAATTAAATAAATAATAGAGTCCGTAAATTCAAATCTTCGTAATTTGTTAATCACAAGAGTTATGATTGTGAGATACAAATTACATCTGATTGAATCTTAAATCGTATGTGGTCGTAAGTAATAACGAGATACGGATATCGTTATTACGGATAGACCATCACGTGTAGCATTTTTTACTTGTGAAGTAAGTAGTTGATCTCACAAGTTAAAGTGTGGTGACACTTAAATGAACACGTGGATATTTTGTTATAGAACAAAACATTGGAGACCCGTCGAAAGATTCCACATGGATAATTATCTGAGTGTCAGTGATTAATCTCTAACGTTCGGTAGTGGAATTGGTCCTTTGACTTGAGGTCGTCACGGTACCTTATATGAGGACAGTCATACTTTGGCGGTGTTGGATGTTGCTCTGCAAAGGGCCGCTAATACGACATCATTCGGGTACGTCAAGAATCATATGAAGGTTGTGATTGACCAATAAAGGATTTGTCACTCTTAAATAGTAGGAGATTATGATTTGCGTTTCATTCAATTAAGTCGATGATGAAATCCTTGGCCAAGGTATACTCATAAGTTGGAAAAGGAGTTTTCGACTTATATTGACTAAATAGTGGAGTGAAAGATATGATTGATAATCGAGATTGACACACTTCCATATCTCGTAATTAATCGGATCATATTGACGAATGGATTATAATTTCACAGTAAACGAACGAGTTTGGTTTTGTCATACCACATGACATTTTCCGTCATATGTATTGCCCTGACACATTGCTAGATGTCAACTGGGGACGGCGATTGTAAATTGACGATAAATTAAAAGGGTATTTTATTAGATCAAAATAATATTTTACGTCGTTAGGAATCGTGATCGGGAACCTGATGGGTCGTACACAAAAGAGAATTGGAAGATTACAAATTGCCAATTAATTAATTTAACAATCGTTGGATGAATTAATTAATTGGATTGGTTATTTATATCCCCGAATTAATTAATTGGATTAATTAATTCACGGACCGGATTTAATTAAATGAATTAATTAAACATTGGACCGGACCGGACCGAACCGAGTCGAGCCCGTTTGGGTTTATATAAATATATAGCTAGGGTTTAAGATCTATATGATTTTCATTATTCTTGTTGACATAAGAGAGAAAATCCTGGTAGCTGCAATCCTATTCTCTGTGTGAATCACCGTTGGAGGCTGAACAATTGGACAGATGTGGATGGCTAATCAAGATTGCTGGAACGAAAAGAAAAGCAAAAGGTTTGCAGAATTCTTCAAAGGTACAATCTTTATCACGATTTCTATCTAAACACAAAAGCGATTCTTGGTGGGAATCGAAATAATTTTAATTTTCCGCTATGCATATATAAGTAGATTCCCAACACACCAATCAGCATAAAGCAATAATTATATAGGCCGCAAGCAATGATGATCTAAATCCATGTTACGACCTCGATGTTATGATCGTCTAACTTGATCGAACTCCTCAACCAATGAAATTTATTCAAGCAAGGAGGCGGCACGCAACTCGAGATAGACACTGTAGCTGGACAAGACAGAGGGAGGCAAGTCCTATCTTAAAGCCTATATAATGAATCATAGACTCAACGACGAGCTAAATTTTTCTCAATAGTATGCTATAAAATACTAAAGACAAGATTTCATATTCTTCACTATTATTCCATCCATAAAACATTGTTATTCTACTAAATTTCACTTAAATTGATCTGTAATTGCCACATCAATTTCCACATTTTGTAGCAATCACAAACGAAGCCATATCACATTTCAATAAACTCACAAACGTCAATTGACCATTGCATTGTAGCCTTGTAGGATACTTTTCTTTGTCTAAAAGAATCCAAATCCATCAACGAAAAATACCTAACCTCTCTGGATACAAGAGGCACCCTTCCCTCCCAAACCCAAAAGTCAATACGACAATTATTTGTAAGTTGGCAAAATTTAGTTTTTTTTATTTGTCCACGCTTTTAAGTCTTTACCGTATCCGTTGGGAAATGCAAATTCACACTAGACTTGCATTGTGTGAAATGACAATTCCTTTATTATTTCTTTATAAAACGCTGTTAGGCACAGTCAAGACTTGAGACTGATTTATTTATTTATTTATTTATTTTTATATATTTTTTCTAATTATTCGATGTGCCCAACTTTCCTAGCTTTCTTTATTATCATTTCTTAATGGAATAAAATGACTCGCAGAGTAGTATGTTGTACAACTTCTTATACATCTTGGACTAAGAATCTTGATTATGATTATAACGGAATATTCTAGATCAAATTCTAAGAACATACGTGAAAATGGATTGTTCATATATTATTAATAACAAGGTCATTAACATTTAGAAGTACAAAAATTAATAAAAAATTATTTAATATTCTTGATTATTACCATGGTTCAAAAATTCCTAGCTCCAAGAACAGATTAACAATGTTGAACTAGTAAAATAAAAATGACAAAAAAAAAAAAAAAAAAAAAAAAAAAAAAAAAAAAAAAAAAAAAAAAAAAAAAAAAAAAGGGAAAAAAAGAATGGAAACCAAACCTGAAGGAAGTGAATATGAAGACTTGTTACCGGTGATGGCAGAAAAGCTAGAGGTGGACACCTTTGTGGCTGAACTCTGTGGAGGATTTCGACTTCTAGCAGACCCGAAGAACGGGTTGATTACACCATCGAGTTTGCAGAAGAATTCAGGTGTGTTAGGCTTGGAAGGGATGAGTGAAGAAGACGCGGAGGCGATGGTTAAAGAAGGAGATCTTGATGGAGATGGAGCACTCAATCAAACTGAATTTTGCATTCTCATGGTAAGACTTAGCCCAGAGATGATGCAAGATGCGGAAATATGGCTTCAAAAGGCAATTCAAGGGGAGTTGAAGAAATCCTCTTCTTGATTATTATAATTAATGTTTTCCATTCGTCGCTTAATTCGTGCAGCATCATTACATGAGCACATTATTAATTTCTTCAAATAATTTTATGTACCACTTTCAAATGAAATGATGGAAGAACATATGCAAATTCTGAGTAATAGTTATTGTTATGCACATATGCAAATTCAGAGTAAGAGTTAGCCATTTTTATGCAATATCATTTGAATGATCTCGACTAGGGAATTTTACTCTTAACAAGACTAGGTTGATCTTTTGTTCAGCCATGATAATTGTGTTTTGACCTCATACGATTGTGCTTGGTGAGCAAGAGCAGCTTTGTCTTAGTATGAATTTATGGCTAACATGTCACACTTTGGCCAAGTATCTCACAAAGCTAAAATAGAAATCCAAGACTCAATTATTAAAACTTGAACTTCCAATTCAAAAGATCAATCTTTTTAAGAGAAGTGACTAAAATTCTTATTTATTAATTTATTTCTTAACATGTCACACAAGATGGTAGCTCTTTTGTACAGATTAATCTTGAAATTTTATATCTCATTTGAGCTTTAATCAACTTGATGTGCTCGTTTTACTTTATAGGCTTTGATACCATATTAAAACTTGTGGTTATTTTAAAAGATCAATTTAATATGAGTAATCAAAACTGTTATATATTGAGTGACATATATGTATATTTATTCAATGTGAAATTTATTCCTTGATATCATCAACGTAGTGTTGAGCTCAAAAAGCTCAACAGATAATTGGATCTATTTACAGCTCAAATAAGATATTTAGTTTCACGATTGATGTTCTTAAATCAAACAAGCGTTTTGAATACTCTATTTAACAAGGTCCATTGCTCCATAACAAGAAGTAAATGATTTTTTCACCCTTAATAAGAAATGAAGTACATGATTAAGAGCATTGCTTTGTAGGGAGCTCAAGGTGAAAATGTTGCAAACAAACTTTCTAGACTAAGTTTTCAGTAACATATACAAGATGTAAATACCAAAATAATGTTACATAATTCTGCACTTAACATTCCACGTTCATATTTCGCGACCTAACTTGTCAATTAAATCATAGAAATGAATCCTTCTTGCACTATTGTACATTTCATGAACTTATCTAATCTATCCATTTCAACATATCAAATATGTGATGCTCGTTAAGACATATTAGACTCGACTAATTAGAATTCATGCCATAAGATATGACAAGTTTTATACCAAGGTAAGACTCGTACGAGGACCTTAAAATTATTACAAACAAGCATCCAAATATATATATATATATATATATATATAGTTGTCCTTAAGGTTTCATACATAAAGAGTTAAACTTTAAGCTTTTCTTCGTCTGATTTTCTATTCTTCCACGGCATCAGTTTCTTGAAACCTTCATATATAGCATCCTGGAAAAAGAACAGAATATTAAGTTAAAAATGCAGTCATCTAATTCTCCAGAATGAATCAATTGAAACCCTATAATGGTTTCTACTAGACCAACTTACTTTCCACGAGCATCTGATAAATTTGATCAGGCACTCGCTGTCTAAACGATCGTTTAAATCTTAAACAGGGAGAACAATTCGGGGATCTTTTCTGGTGTACCCTTTCCTCAAGAATTGTGGCCTCACCATTTCTAGTCAATAAGATACCACCTTTCAACTTATCAGGGACGGAGCCAAGAAGATATGTTAGGATGGGTTGAAAATTAATATTTTTTCACAGATGCTCTTTGCCACTCAAAATTTAGTTTAAAAAGTTAAACTCTTGACGCTAATGACAGTGTGTCAAAATATATTTTTGGACACTCACGACAAAGTTCTATCAAATATATCCAAAAATATATTTTGGATATTGCTACATGTACATCAAGTTTTACATAATGAATTACATAATATCAAATGTCACTTTATCACTTGCCAATTTAAAATACAGTGAACTTTTTCATTCAATCTTTTCTCTCCACATTATTTTATACAATTCCTTTTGTACCATTTTTATGTACAAGTAGCATAATTCATATATTTTTAATTGATAAAAATAAATATAGAGCATATTACTTATTTTGATAATAAAATCCATTTCGTGGTTGAAATAAATAAATTTTTAACTCATAAATATAAATAAGTAATATATGAAAAAATATGTAAGAAAAAAATCAATTACTTTTAAGCTTAATCAATTATGTGACTATAAGTGAACTCTTTAAATTTGAATAATTGAACATTGGAATTGGGCTGGGAGCCTGGGAATGAAGTTAATTGGGCTGGGCTAAGTTTTTATTCTTTTTCCATTTCACCAAGAATTTGGGTTGAATTTTCTATTTTTTAACAAGTTAATTTGCTTTTCGGCTGGCGCTGGGCTATAGAATTTGGGCTTAATTTCTCTTTTTTTACAAGTTAATTTGCTTTTGGGGTGGGACAGGCGATCCTCCTCTCCATCCACCTCTGCAACTTATAATTAACTTAAGGCAGGAGAGATGAGGCAACCTCTCCCTCCTTGCCGGATAATTTCCGGCCCCATTACCCGTTTAAAATAGGACGGGGCATGTCGGGTTGGTTGGGTGACGGACTGCCCTTGTCCCGTTTAGTACCCATTTAATTTTTTAATTCATTTTATTACCTTCATTCATTAAAGTGATATAATAATATAGTTATTAAATTTTTTAATTAATTTATTTACTTTTAAAATTTGAATCATTGAAATATATTTGGTGACCTAAGGTTTTCATTGTTTATCATATTCCTCAGATAATTTTAATTGTCATCCTCTATTAGAATCAATAAAATTTCGTGGAGATTTCCATTTAAGGTATTGAATTATTTTTAAAAATGGTTAAATGGGGCGGGCGGGGCCCTCGTTACCGGTAACTGCCCTGGGGCGAAAGCCCCCGCCCCCGACCCGAATACCCAATTGAGCAAGGAACGGGGCGGTTATCGATTTTGACATCCCTATTATTAGAGTTATAATTCTTTCATAACATTAAAACTAGAATCTTATTTTTTATGCTTTTTTTAAGTATTAATTTGATAGATGAAAATATACGAGAAATTTCAAAATAAGTTTCAATACTTGTCCAAATATTCGTATATTGTAAAAGGAAACCAAGCTTTGCATAAATTTCCAAATGCACGTTTAAGAATGAAATTACTTTCATGTCCTTCCCAAGGACACCAATTTTACCTAATCCAGCCCCACCTCTACTATTCTTGAATATTGACAATCTGTAGCTGATGATTACAGAATTTTACTCACCATTAATGGATTAGCGCGACTTTTGAACTCTTTTTTTTTTCAACAATAGCAATTCTTGTATCAATCACTGCTCCACTAATATTAAATTTGATTAATTACTGAGATGTGATTAAGGTAAACATATTGTGACGGTTTGTCATTTTGCAACATTCCAAAATCCCCAGTCATGCAAGGAGCAGAGTAACAAATGGAAAATACTTGAACAGTGGCGTAATTACTTACCCAAATGTGAGACCTAGCTTGAGTGAAGCTTGAAAAGCTTCCATTTCTTGTTAATTTCCCAATTTTAGCCTTCGTCCCTGCACTGTCATCTCCAATTTCCTTCTTCCGATCCTTAAATGTGATAGTCTTTTTTCCCCAAGAATCAAATAAACCTCTTCTTTTGTGTCCTTTCTTGCAAATAACAACAGTTCTAAGCTGTACTTTCTCAGGACTTTTGCTACTAGAACCATCAAAAGACCCTTTAGCCTCCCCGAGGGATTTGAATGAAGAAGAAGAGAACTTGGGTTCGCCCACATAAGGTCCATCCAAGACTGTGGTGGGAGAGGGTGTTTTGGTAATTTTGGTGGTGGATTCCATGAACAGTCTTGGAGGAAGCTCTAAGCACTTTGTTTCAGTGCTTTTAGGGTTGGGGAGTTCGATGAGAGCGGTGCATGGTCTAGGCTTCCCAGGCTCCTCCTCCCATTGAAATGGAACTGAAGCTAAAGTGTGCAGTGGTGGCGTTAGCATCCCTGAATGATAAGGTGACTGCATCATGGGTGGTACTGTTTTGGAGAAAAGTGGAAGCTTGGGTGTACAATCTGAATCTTGCCCTACTTCATCCTGAAATCCCATAATTGTATATTTATACCTTGACGGTGGTGGCGACGGCGGGGTATGTGGATTTTGGGTTGGTTCGAGGGGATTGGTGTTTTACATATAGGTATGAGAGTGAAAGATGGAGGAGACTTTTTGTAGCTGTTGACAAGAAAAAGGCAGGGATTTCTGGATAGGCAATCTTTTCTGCAGCTTATTTCTCTAATTTATGGATTTTGCTGTCCCCTTATTTCTGAAGGACGGCTGACATCCGGAAATTCAATCTCGAATGTATGCGGAGCAAAATTTTTTATTTATTTGGCTCGTGTAAGTGTTTCTTTTTTGAGCCGTGTTTGGTTATTAGGTACAGAACCCCTATCGAATATACACAAACATGAGGATTGGAAATTTTTAGGGTAATTCTTTAATGAATTGGTCCCGCCCTGTACATATTGATAAATTCCCCTTTTTTACCTAAAAAATAAGGTACAGTGACACTTATTTTTAAAGATTTCACAAAATTAGCTCCCGTTTGGCCCCCATTAAATTATATTATATTTTTCTTTTTCCTATTTTCAATCATACAATCTTTCATAAAATAATATTATACGTAAATAGAAAATTTTTCATTCTTTTTCAACCTCTCATTTTTCAAAAAAACACAATTCCTCCCATTTTCATTACCTAAAAATGGGGGTCAAACATGGGCTTAATCTGAGTTCTTAAAAATGAAAAATTTGCAGTGGGCAACTCTACCTGACAATTAGGCCCCGTTTGGTAGACTTTTTTTCAAAATACATTTTTGTTTCTTTTCTTTTCAACCACACATTCTTTATTAAAATAATATTACACATAACTCAAAATTTTTTCCTTATTTTTCAACCACACATTTCACATCAATTTATTATTTTAAAATGCATTTTTTCATAAAAATACTATCAAACACCCCCTTAATATATAATTCAAATAAACTGCACGTTAAACATGACTTAAAAGTCAAGATTCATGTGCTTGCCAGTACCTATTGTTTCTTTTTCAATTTTCCAAGTCTGTGACGTCGGAAAGCAATGTAAATTCATGTGGACAAAGCCCCTTGTCCAGGGCCACATTGGCCCTGGACGTCGGCGTCCCCTATAGATGGGGGCCTGTCGGACGTCAAGCATGATTCTTTTCATGCATACATTTACACTACTGTAAAATGGCAACTCCAAACCCCATTCAATTTACTCATGTAAACACATATTATTTTGCTAATTATAAGTCCATATTTGAGCATAATTTTTAAAAATAAATTTTATAGAAGCGATTTTTGTAAAGAATATATGATAAAAAAGTTTAAAAATAAAAATAAACCGGGCATATAATTTTCCCCACTACTACTACTTGGAGAGTACGAAACTAATAATTTTTCTTTTTAAAATGAGTCCAAAATTGATAAATATACATCTTTTTCAAGCAATAATTTGGCAAAAGATGCTTGTTGTACAGCTTTTAGAGCTGTACACCTCTTACAGCCCCCTCACAATGAGAGGGTCCATAATTATCTTAATCAGGTTGATCCTTCAATATGTGAGGGACTGTACACCATATTGTTCAAGCATCATTTTTCTAATTTGGCCTTTTTCTCTGTGCTGTGCATTGGATTACACGGTACATATGAAAGAAAAGTGTCAGTTCTTTTCTGGAATTGATTTGGACCTTTATCTGCACCTCTCTGCTTATCCCCCATTGTCTCCAGTCCTAGATTGTTGTTAATTTTGGCACTCAAAAATCCTGATTTTTTTATTTAACTTTCAATCTCAATCACGCTGAGTGCTTGTTTGAAAAAAACTTAAAAAATTAATAATAACTTAGATTAAAATTATGCAATTCAAAATTTTATCAACTTTTTAATCATACATCACATCAATTTTTATAAAAAAAAACAGTTAAATCTTTGTCATAGAATTCATAAAAGAATAATAAAAAATGTGAAAATCAGGCTAACCTCGATATTCAAGAAACCGAGTTTTACTTTCACGTCGAAATACTCTCATTCTGGAAAAGTAACATAAAATGTATGAAGTTAACCATCAATAAATTAACGGATTTTAGCTACCTTATGATTTTCCATTTGTCCTTACATTTTGTTCGTATAGTTAATGTTAGGCAATTTTGTTGTCAAACGACCTCCCCGGACGATGATGTAACCTCGGTTGTTTATTATCAATCGGCATCGGCCTAATAATTGATTAGTACATCGACACAATTAACGAGACAACACAATCCACTTTGTTATGGACCATTCGAAGTAACCTATTTTATAGTGTTGCTCACGGTTCCCGCACCATTTCTTGGAAGGCTATATTATTATTGTTGAGGCCCAATTATTTGAGTCGAGCCTTGTTTGTTGATCCACCACTTAGCCCTAATTGTAACTTACCTATTTTGGACAATATACTTGGCATATAATCCCCTCATTCTCTCGGCCTCCATTAGAGTGAAATTTTCCCCTCTTTGTGAGTCTCTCTCTCTCGGCCTCTCCCTTTCCCTTTCACTGTGGCCTTTGTGGTTAACATACTGTGGGAATATTCTTGGTCTTCTCCTTCCCAATTGATAGCAATCGGACCGGTGGCGGCATAGGGTGGTGTTGGAGTTGTCTCAAGTTTTTGGTGTCGATGTTGTGGTAAACTGAGCCCGGTTTTGCACGTGTTGGCTGTGGAATTCGGTCCTACAGTTAATTAGTGATTTTGACTCAAATTTAAAACAGAAAAATCCTAATATTTTGGTTATATAGAAAAATAGAAGGAAAAATGAAAAATCATAAGGTATCTAAGATCCATTAATTTATTCAGGCAAAAAATAAAATAAAGATGACATTACGAAATTATTGCCCACAGCTAAAAACATGTGAAAATAGATATTCAAAAATGCAGTTTAAAGGGATTGGAGTTTGAAGCTTTTCCTCTTGTACAGTGGCAACAAAGAAATTAGGGTTAAAAACATGTGATTTAATACGTGATTGTGATCTATAAAATTGTAAGTACATGACTGTGACTTGTTTAATTAAATTGAAGGTAACACCATTATATTAGATGTCACAAATGTGACCACCTGATTTTTTCAATTTTTTTTAGAAGTTTGTTAATTTTGAAATTGGATTTTAAAACATTCATACTTACGGATTTTTCCCCATTCTCCTTTCGAATTAAAGGTTGTGCTAAAACTTATAATCTGTGTGAAGGTATTGGATGCAAATTGCCTGAATTCACTACCGACATATCCAGCAAAATTTCAGAAAAGCTCCTGGATTAGAAGAGTTATGCATTGGCAAATGTATTGAAATTTACGCTGTCATTATGTAATTGAAGCTCGCATAATCTGTTTCTTTTAATGGTTTTTGCTTGACGTCTACCTATTGCTATTTTCTTTGAAGTTCATTGTCTTCCTGAAGTTAATTTGCACGATTCGTCTGATTACAATCTGCTGGGATTTTTCACCCAATATCCGATTTCTGTCGTCAAATTTCACGCACAGCAGGAATAAAAATCACGCAGAAAATTAAAGAATTCATGAATTGTTCACCCAATTCGGCCAAGCCTAATCTGAGGGGCTCAGAGGCAAAAGTTCCAAGCCCGTCACTATGCAAGAACCTCACAAGAAAGAGCAACAGTTTGTTCACAAGGTTCGGATCTCAACTCACACACAATCAGATCATCGATCCAACAAAAGGATCTCACAATACTCCACCAAATCGAAATCTGACCTAGACCAAAAATAGTATTTGACTTCACAGTTTAATATCTACCGAAACAAGGTAAAAAAACTGCTCAAATACAACACCAAACATCGGCTATTACTCGCTGAAAAACGGACCAGTTTTCCAGCCAAAATACCACCGGACCATAGACCATAAAACAGCCGAAATACTACAGTTGATACCCTATCAACACTGGTCAAAATTTCAGATTTAATACAAGAGAAAAACTCCTTGTGAAATCACCAAGAGAGACCCTTCGAGAGAGAGAGACGAGAGGAAGAGAAAATGAAAAAAATCTGCCTTGTTGAAAAAGCCATCCACCATGTTTTAATTAAAAGGGGATCTAATTTAAACCATTGATTAAAATCAATGGTCCATGCTTTTTCCAAAGAAAAACGAATCCATGTGAAAACTAATTTGCCAATAGGAAATTGCCATGTGGCCAACAAGTTGTAAAAACATTTTGGCACCTTTAAAAAATGTGTTTTGGTTTTGAAAACATTTCACAATCTTCACCTTGTTTTCACAAACCCCTAGCTCTCTCTAGTTGCTACAATAGATGTGACGGTAATGATTTTTGCCCTACATATCGTCCTTAGTACCTGCAAAAGAAATTAGCCTGTATCAATATGTAGTAAAGATAAACATGACTTAAACTTACCTACATTTAGAATTTTGGTTCCCATATCAGATGGGTTATCATCGGTATGAATTTTTTCAAGTATAACATCACCACAAGCAATTTTTTCACGTATAAAATGATACTTCACCTCAATATGTTTAGATCTTTCATGATAAACTGGATTTTTGCATAAAAGTAAAGCACTTTGACTATCGGTGAAAATAATAGGTGACACTTGCAAAAAATTCAACTCCCCCAAAATTCCTTTCAACCAGATACATTCTTTTACAGATTCGATTATTGCCACATATTCAGCCTCCGTGCTGGATAATGTGACAATAGATTGAAGTTGTGACTTCCATGTAATGCAATTATCACCTAGTGTGAAGAAATAAGCGGTAGTAGACTTTCTTTGATCTTTATCGCCAGCGAAGTCGGAGTCTACATACCCTTTTAAAGTGGACTGTTCGGATCTTCTTTTAAACACCAATCCCACATCTAATGTCCTGGCAATGTATCTTAAAAGTCACTTTAACCCCGCCCAATGAGGTTTTCCTGGATTAGACATGAATCTACTTAAGAAACTTATAGCATAAGCCAAATCCGGCCTAGTAGTAATCATAGAAAACATGACTGATCCTATGGCATTAGCATATGGGATATTTTTCATTTCTTCCATTTCACTTTCAGTTTTAGGAGACTGAGATGATGATAAATTCATTTGGGCTGCAAGAGGTACATTAACTTTCTTGGCTTCTTTCATGCCAAACTTGGTTACAACTTTGTTCAAATAAGCATTTTGTGTTATAGTTAAAATGTTATCTTACTTATTTCTGTTGATAACCATTCCCAAAATTTTCTTGGCATTTCCCAAGTCCCAAGTCCTTCATATCAAATTCTGATTTTAGAAGCCCTTTAAGTTTCAAAATTTCAAATTTACTA